GTTTATTACCAGGAAGGTGTAAAGGCAGCACAGATACCGTTTCCTCGTAAGGCCAACTCCACGGGAGAAGTTTACTGACATGGTATGCACACTTCTGAATTTTTCTTTCTTATGTTCTTGAACCTAGTTCGATAGCAAAGAATGTTCTGTGGGATTTGAAGAGGAAAACAGTAGTTATTTGATTGGTAATTAAAATTTAATTTTTCCCCCCCCCCCCCAATAGGCTTTTTCTTCTTGTGCTGAACGGGGCTCTTCGGGATTTGAAAAGGAAAAAAGTAGTTATTTTTTTTGTAAATAAAAAATTTTTTCCCCCCCCCCCCCCCAATAGTGCTTTTCTTGCTGTGCTGAACTGGGATTCTAAGTGGCAACTCCTGCTCCAGTAGTAATTATTCCATGCATTTTTACGCAGTTACTGCCTAGGTGAGTACCTTGAAAGTACCCTGAGTTCAGGGCTTTCCAATAGAATTAAGTGATCAAGAGCATAAAGAGAGAACCACGTCCTCATACGTTCTGTCTTAAGGCTGGGGTGTTGCAGCCCGGGGGGACACACCACCGTTTCTGTCCCGCTGACAGCACTGTGCCGACCTTGCGGGTGCCTTACCGGCCAGGTCACAAGGAGGATGGAAAGGAGGGGGGAAAAAACCCAAACCCCAACAAAATAAAAAACTTGAAAAGCTTAACTCAGGTGCATCAGCCATCCTAAAAGGTGAGATTTGCTTCTAAAGAAGTTAAATAGCATGGAAAGCAACAGCTTCCATCAGTACTTTCTGCTGTTAAAGTGTCATTTTCTTTCTTGGCATCTGTGGAAGAAGAGAACTAGCGCTGGGAAGGAGGAGCACACAACAGCAGTGTCTGAGCAGGTGGAAAGGAAAGCCACAAGACGAGCTCAAGAGTAAAATTTGTTTTCCTCCATGTTTTAATTTGACAAAAGAGGATCCATCTCAGGTTGGTCATCATGGGATGGTAGCCCTGTTACAAAGGCTGTACGTAGGTGGATGTTTTCTGGGAATGCCATTCACCGCTTAGAAGCTTTGCTTCCGCTGAATTCTAACTGAAGCTTTTGAAGTGCAGCAGGGTACCTGTGCTCCTGTAGCAAGCTAGGGAAGTTCGGCCTATTTAAAGCAAACAAACAAAACTACAGCGACTTTTTTTCTTACTCAAGTTTGCAAGCTTTATACACCAAACTGCTAATGGGCAGGAGGGAGGGATCAGGTAAAAACCACAGGAAGCATCTAGTGTTTGATGTTAGGCCTCTAAGTAGAGAAGAGTAAAATACTTGTTGCAGCTTTTCAAGCTACCCCATCTATAAAAGTGTGGGTCTCCTTGACGGCTGTTGAGTTCAGGCTATTATTTCCCTTGGAACCTGTTCTCACAGTTTGCAGCACATGGGCAGGTCCGTATGAAGAAAAAACCCCGTGGGTTCCATATTAAAGCTGGGGGAAAAAAACCCAACCAACCAACCAAAAAACCCCACAACAAACCCAACCCAACAACCAAAACCCTGAAAACGAATGACATCATTGTTATTTTCCGTGTTCCAGGAACGTCGGTTCCTGGGCTCTGCGGGGGAGCCGCGGTGTTGTGCCTGCTGGGAGGGCACTGGTAGGAAACGAGAGGAAGGGCGGGATGGCGATGCCCTAGCACCTTTCAGCAAGCTTGTCACTGCTCACCCCAGTCGCTCTGGAATAGGCTCTAAACGTATCAAAAACCTCGTGCTAAAGCCCAGTGAATTCCAGGCAGATTCAGTTGTGGTCAAGTTGAGTGCCCCAAAGATTGAAAAATTTAAAAAAAAAAAAAAAAATCCCTTTACGAAATGTCTTTCTAGGTAAGCAAAGCTGGAGACGGTTGATGCAGAGCGCGCCACAGGAGCTTGGCTGCCACGGGCTCTCGCGGGCTGACGCCAGTGGAGAGCGCGAGGTTTGCTCGGACCAGGTCTGTGTGTTGGCCGAATTTTCACAGGGGCAAGGACAGACAAGCGCGAAAGGGTCCGCTGCTTCATCCTCTGAACACGGGGTTCCCCAAGCAACCGCTTTGGCCTTTCAGGGTCCAGCCGTTCAGGCGGCGTGGCTCGGCTTGCCTCGCTAGAGCAGCAGAGCTGGCGTGCGGCATTAACGGCAGCTACAGGTTGGATCAAACGGCGTTTTAGCAATAGTAAAATTGTATAATTCTCTGTGCAGGAACCTGGCCAGCAGGGGAAAGATCACTTTCATGAGACAACCAATATTTTATTTAATGGGTTTTGGACATTCCCCTTCACTGCTCCCAGAGAGAAATTCCAGAAAGCCTAAATAACTAAGTGCGTTCAGGCCGCCAGAGTAAATCTTCAATTTAAAAATACAAGTGTCGTAATTCTAAAAGAGGAACAGGACAGAAGAAAATGTACGCAGTCTTAACTACTTAGAGGTAATAAATGGTTATATTAAATGATAGAGAAATCATTATATACATCTTTTTCTAATTCCTTGCATTTTCTAGACAGCTTATTAAAATATAGGAAATGTAGATTCATCTGTACAAAATTTGGAATGTTTTTTCTAAGATGAAGAACTTATAGGATATGCTAAGAATTCTTTTCTAACAACTGGTTTTAATGCTTTGACTTCTAGTGCAAGAGGGATTTAGAGAAACCAGAAGGTGATACCTTTCACAGGATAAAGGTCAGGAGCTCTTTTACGCTAGGACAAAAAGAAAAAAAAAAAGAAAAAGCTAACTTTCTGTGGTCTCTACCACACCTTAAAAACAATCTGCATGTTAGATTGAAATTGCTCAGAACCTCCAGAATAAAAGCATACTGTCCACTTTCCTCGCTTTCTGTTATGCACTGTAACGAAATGTGAAAATAATGCTGTACTTAGCTGTCTGTATGTGACTGAAAATATGCTTGTATTTAGCAAAATGGTTACCATGTGATAATGTGAAATTTAAAACTTGTAAAGAAACTTTGGTGAGTTTTTTTTCTTCCCCCCTCCCCATTCTTTCTCAGTAGCCGTCTACGACCCCCACCACTTCTGTACCGCAGCTGTAACTGGAGCCTGACCCGGCCCGGCTCGACCACAGCCGCGCTCCGCAACAGCATCCGCTGCGTGTGTGTCTCCGCAGGCCCGCTGCTGAGAGCCAGCCAGCGACCTTGCTGAGAAAAACCAGCGCCGCTATAGAAACACTGGCCGTTCTGAAACAAAACAAAACAACCCCAACCCACCCCCCGCTCCCTGCGGTAGTGGCCAAAAGCGGCCGCAGCCCCTCCAGGAGGCCTTTCCCAGCGGCGGGCAGGGCTGGGCTCCCAGCAGCTGGGGCAGCGGCTGCAAACCGCCCTTCTGCTCTTCCTCAGCCTAAGAGACCAAACGGCGAAGGGCAGAGCGATACTGGCCGGGGATCGGGCACAGCGAAGCTTGAGTTCTGGTCTCTCTGAGCTTTGTTTTGGTTTTTTTATTTACTTCGTATCAAGCAAACAAACAAAATCCCACCCAAAGCAAGAGTTAGGGTGGGAGCCACCTCCCATCCCCCCAGGCCAGGCACCCTTTGAGCCTTCTGCGCAATTCCAGCTCGAAGGCGGTCACCCCCGCCGATGCCCAGCATTAGGTCACTGGCGGTTGCACGCAGCGCTGATTTCGCTGGTGCAGAAACGCTTAACTCGGCATTTCAGCGTGCACAACAGAGGCGGGCAATTGCTGCCTCAGGACCAGCCAGAGGGAGGGGGAGAGCAGGCTTCGGCCTGTTGGGAGCTCATTAATCCAAATTGAAGAGAAAATTGCAAGAGAAATCAGGACGTGTTTGCAGCTGCCTTCCCTGTCCTTGCTGAGGCTCTTAAAAGGAAAGGGAGAGAAGCAGCCTGCAGCCTGCGCAGCCCCACGCTCAGTGCGCTGGTAACAGGTACCCGTCAGTCAAACAACGCGGTACAGCTAACCGCTCCTCTGCTCCAGCCAGAGCCGCTGGGACAAACGGCGTCACCCGGCAGGGACGGTGCGGGTGCGCCAAGCCCAGGTACCGCCTTGCGACCGCGGGTAAGGTGTGACCGGGCCTCTGCCCGTCCCCGCAGCTCCTGCTCTGTCGCAGCCACAGCGCTGCCGAATCGGCGGCTCGTACTGACGGTGCAGATGTGCTGACTCACGCTCCCCAGCTCGCTCAGGCCGGCGTTCAGCAGCCGCGCTTCGCGTCTGCTGCTTCAACCGCATTTCTTCACCCCGCTGCCCCAGGTAAGGGAGGGAAACGCTACGTAAGATCACACGGCAGATTCACAGCTCACACACAGAGATGCACAAACCCTGGTGTTTGCCACAACTGTTTCGTTTTACTATTTTCATATCATGAAATAAAAGTACAAAAAATTTACAGGTATATTGTTTCTTACATGAAGATCAGTTAACATTTGCATTTATTTTGCAGCGAAACCTGTATTCTCAGTCACAGAATGTGAATATTAGCCACTGACATCACCACTGAGCATTTCATTTTAGAAAGAAACTGCAGAGGTAAAAGGCAACAATCTTGCAAGGCTTCATAAGAACCAAAAAAATATTCCGACTGTTAACACCACAAGTGACACCTCAGTAAACCATCCTTACCTAATACAGGTTTCACCAGCTGGGGGGTGTTAAGACATCTGAACTGGACATTTGTCTAAGGGGTCGTAAATAGGGGGGTTCTCGTTTACAGGCTATCAGCGTTTTGGTGTCCTCGTTCACCGCATTTGCAAAAATGAGCAGTGTGCGCACATGTATGAAAAAGAACGGGGCGAGGTCACCTGCAGTCGTGACATAGCTTGTGCTGTTTACGCCATTTACCACTCTTCTCTGAAGACAAGTCACAAACTGGTGTACGTAAAGTGCTGAGAGTTCAGTAACGGGCAGTTAGCTAACCAATAAATATTAAAACCAAGTTTATCCAAAGTGGACATCCAGGAATGCTTCCGGACTGATGCTGCCAATTAACTGACTGAAACAGAATCCAAGACTTCACTGTGGTTTTTCTGTCTCCTAGAACATCGCAGCTGCGTGTCTTCCCAGCCCAAGTCGACTTGACCTTCATCAGCTGCACGCAGAGATGACAAAGTAAACCCCTGCCTTCCCTGCCCCTGCCCCCATGCCAGACTCCATTTCATACATGCCCCTCAACTCTTCAGACAAGCTTTCGGGTAGAAATTTACTTTTGACAGACTGGTCTGATCGAAATCCTATGTCCTTTGCTGGACTGCGTGGTGCCTTTTCAAATAATTCATTTCATGAAACATGCATGAAACCAAATTTTGAGTTTACAAATAAATAAAATGGTGCTCACCATTAGTTTTATATATTTTACCATTTACTGAAATGCTTAAAGTAACTCAGTCCCTTAAGAATGAACTTGGGGTTGTTTAAATAAAAAATATTTGGAAATTGAAACCACATTCAAAATTGGCAAAACTATGCTTTGTTTTTGGAAGGGTCTTGCTTGTTTCTTCTCTTTACATCCCAATTATAAACTCTAGCCATATCTGAGGGTGTGGAATTAAGGAAATAGCTCATGCGTTCAGAACGGGGAAAAAAAAAAAAGAAAGAAAGAGAAAAAGGGGAGAAGCAGGTTATACAATTGCCCACGCTTCACTTACTTGTAACAGTCAATATAGAAACCATTTAATGGAAGAGCTGACTTGGTGCACAGCCTTAACACACAGGAATACGAGTAACTATTAGTAACTGCAGCACTTACACCATTTACTTAAAAACCTCCAAAAAGATATTACAGAGAAACACATTTTTAGTTTTACTTACAGCTACTCTCTCCCGAGCTCAGTCAACCTGCCCGCGTCAGCTGTATTTGCCTATTTCAGGCACCCGTCACTTCCTGCAGCACTAAGGGAGCTTAAGGATCACCGTGAAAAAAAACAAGTAGTTGTGCCTTCACTTACTAAACCTAATGCTTCAGTTGATGGCTACCCTCATCATTAAAATCGTTTTTAAGTATAAAAAAAAAACCACCACACCCCGGAGGTGATTCATGATAGTATAAAGAAATAAAAAAAAAAAAAGAAGTTAAGCAATGCCTAAGCTAGCACCAAGCTTGCTGCAGCAGCGCTTGTGTTGCCTGGAGAACATTGCAATGGCAGCTGAATCGGGTATGATTAACAACAGGCCAAGAACAACATCCGTAGGCTCTCGAGAGGAAGGGAGCGTCGCTTTGCTTTGAACTGGCCTCCTGGCCATCAATCCACGGCACCGATCCACGCTTCCAGCTCGCTTCCAGCTCGCTTCCAGCCTAGGTTTGCAACCGCCACAGGAGGTTCCACGGGGCCGCAATCACCAACGCAAGCTTTGCTACATCTACCACACCAACCCTCAGCTCGATGCTGGAAACGCAACATCCCCTGTCGCTGCTAGACAAGGTTAACCTCCTAGAGCGCTACAGAATTTTAAGGGCAGCCAGTCTCAGATAAAACCATGTCAGGAGCTCGGTAATTACCTGTGCGTAAGCTTTCACATACACCTCTTCCCCTGCAAATAAAAAAAAAGGATACTGACTTCTGTAGTGGTGAACTGATCTCTAAGAAAATCCAGGTCTTCCTCTAGAAGATCAAGGTTTCTTGTGGCTGTTGACAAATTCTTCTCTAACAGAGCCTGAGCTTCATCAATATCATATTCAAGCATCACATTGGCCTAAAAAAAGAAAGATTGATGAAAGCTTTTACTCTTGCATTGTAAGGAACAAGCCATAGCAGGTTTATTTCAGGCTTTTGCTTATAACCTATCACATTAACAAAAGTCTGTCCTGAAGGCCAAGACAACGAGATTCAGGACGAGCAACGCCGGAATCCACTTGAGGCCTCCGCCACTTCAGCAACTGAGTAATAAATCCCTCTACTGACTTAAAAAACCTGCTCTTCCTATAGCTAAGTCACAAGGGATTTCTCTCCCTGTGGACTGCATTCAGCCTTGCAGGTACCAGTATCTCATCTTCACCGTATCTGAAAAGTGAGAGACTTCACGTTTCTTAGCAGCACTTTTCCAGTGTCACACAGCTCTAGAAACAATTTCTGTTGCATTCAAGATTAACCTTAGGATCTGTGCGTGGAACACGGACGAACAGCCTAAAGGCCCTGGTCATTAACAAGAAGTATTACAGGCATTTAAAGATACAACGTGTATAAAAGTCCTCTCCTATAGCGTGCTGGTTTTTAATCTACAAATCTTTATTTCAGTAAGAAACTACCACGTGAAGAGATAAAAGAGCAGTATCAAGTGAAGAGGCACCAGTGAAGCTTTGTCCCATTCAAGAACTGTGCACTGAGCAGAGCCACGTGCTGCTAACTAGGCATGATCCCAGGGAATGCTACGGGGCTGCAAGAGTGAGATAAGCCGTTCTTCTTTTAAAATAACTGGAAGACACAGTTTCCCCAATAACAGTAATATGCCTAGCCCAATGCGCAGACTGTAAGCAACAAGGAGGACAAAGGCAGAAGGCCAAGAACACCTAAATGTAATAAACTGCTTGTGGCATTTCATTATAGCTGTTCTGTACCAACCATCGACAGGATGAACTTTCTCTGATGTTGTGTTACAAAATAACCCTGGGATGCTCCATGGAAGGCAGTGTTTGTGAATTCTGAAGACAGTCTCCTAAAAGCAACAGGTATCAGACAAATCTTCTCTTTTTATGACAGAAAAGAAGCGGGAGAGGTTGGGAGTAACGGCCCAATCAGTCTGGATGCTGCACGTGCCCACAACGTTTCTGTCCTAACCAAGTGGTTTTGTTTGGCAGCCAACAGAGGGGTTTGGGAACATCCGGGATTTAGAAGTCTCAGAAAAAAACAGGAGCAGGTTCTCTCCACATGTAAGGAAGCCTCTGAATACAAAATATCCCAACCTGGTATCACTTAAATACTTAGAAATCTGTGTTTTGATCTCTGATCCCACCAGTCTTCAGCACAAATTCCAGCTGGCAGGTACCTGCAAGTAACAGAAATCCCACCTCTCCCTAAAAACGTGCATGAAAAAGGAAATCAAGATGCTAAATGCAAATAATGTAGAGAAGATGGGAAGCTACTTGCCAAACCAAGTTATTTTGCTGGGCAAATTCCCATCCCAGGCAATGCTGGCTGGTAATTCGAACGACAAAGTGATAGAAATGATAAGGAAAACATTCATGAATATGCTTTTTGGAAAGAACAATCCAGCAAAATTACAACCCGCTGAAGTCTTACTGTTCAGGCACCAAATAAAATCGAACATGAAACCTTCACTAACTCCTTGAAATTGTCTTGGTAGGTTTGTCCTGCTGACAGGACACAGCTCTGCTACGCACACAAGAACAGAATTATGCCCGTGGCCAGCAGAAGTACAGATGAGATAGCAACGAACACTGTCGTTTATAAGCCTTTAAGTCATTTAAACAGTTTCAGAGAAAGTTCCGTTTTACTTACCCCCAACCACAAACAAACTTTATCTGTAGGAGGAACTGAAGCTTTGCAGTAGAGATTATCTGCCAATAAAAATCTGGTTTCCATTGGATTTGTGGAATCCTTAAGACAAATGATAAAACTTAAAATTGCTATTTTCACTGGAAACTTATGTCAAAGACATAAAACTTACAGTAAAGAGCACACTTTTCTGCTTTTTGCCATTGATACAGTATTAACTTTGGTGGAACTCTACGTACTTTTACTTCAACATTAAAGTTAGAGCTCCAAGAATAAAGCATTTTAAAAAGATATATTTAAAACCAATATAGAAATCTCTATAAAGAATAGAGATGAAGTCAAAGCTTAGCTGCAATCTATACACTATTAAAAGTGAAGTTTGCATTACAAACATTAACTTTTTTTGAACTGGCTTTCAAAAAGTACTACATACCTTTAAAAACAATTCTGTTATTTATAAAGGCATATTAAGTGTGCTCTCCAAAACATTTCTTGCAATGTGTTCTGTTAGGGTGGAAAGGTAGTTAGCTTTTCTCATACTCATTAGATATACAAAATAGTTTACCTTTTTCTTCTGCATGTGTTTTAAAATTTCTAATGTCTGTTTAATTTCAGGAATCTGACTTTTTAGCCTGTGAATTAACAACAGTCATAATTTATTATTTTACAGAGACACAAAGTTTCCTAAACAAGTGATCAGTTTTATTATACAATCCAACCTCCATTTTAATACTTGAAACTCTAACAGCTTTCCAGGCTTACAAATGCAGATTTGAAAGATATGGCATGTAAAGGCATCGCAGCTACAGCTTCGCCTGCCTCTTATCATACCGAGGCTCGCTGGTTTTCTGAAGCGGAGCAACACATCCAGCTTTCAAATCGGAACAAACACACATTAACAGTAACAGATACTCATTTGCTGAAATGGTATATTTTTGCATATTTCTGCTCTCCCTGGAGGAGAGGGAATCCTCAGCAGAAATACAGCTAAAAACCACTGTAGGTAAAACAAAACAAGCGTGCTTCTTCTGAGGCCCACCAACGATTCTAACAGTTTAGAGCTACAAGACTTGGCGCTGTTAAAACGACAGCTCTCTCCAGAGTTCAGGGCGTCCCCCTCCTCGCCAGCCCTCGCGGCAGCCCAGCAGAGACGCCGGGATCCCCACTGGCCTCCCAGGCCACCGCCTCTGCAACCAGCAGGCTCGGACAGCAGCGGCTGCCAAACAGGCCTCCAGGTCCCCTTATGAGGGACATTTGTCCATGAAAGAAGTTTAACCTAAATAAAATATTACTTGAAGCTTTGATTTTAGCTTTTAACAATTTGCTTCCTGCCTAGCTTCAGATCAAGACTGAAGCTACTGAAGAGAGATGAGATTACTAAACCAAAAGTTACAGGCTTGATACAGTAGTCATTTGACAAAAACGTATTTTTATTTACACTAGGCTGACAAAATGAAAAGAGTATAGCAGTACTTTTTGGCCTTAAAGGCTAAGGACCAATTCAGCAATCCTGGAAATTCTTTTGCATGTAATTCTTAGGAAGAGGAAAGAAAAAAAGGCGGGCTTTCCTGACAGTATTGCAAATATTAGCTCTCCTAACATCAACTTTTTACTTCTTGGGATATTTAAAAAAACTAGACTTATTTTTAAAAAAATAGAACCGTGCTAAACATTTCCCAATTCTGCAAAAATTATGACTTACCTCCTTTTCTTTTGAGCAAGATTAAGCTCCAAAAATTTATACTTCTGATACTGCTCATCCAACTTCTTAAGAACTACATCTGCTGTCTCATTTCCAGGCTGTTTCATAAAAGAATCTACATCTTCCTTTAAGGGGAGAAAGAAACCCTCAATGTTAGAAGAGTTTTACAGAAATCCTAGACACAGTCATGCTATCATCTTACTGCAGCTAAGTCTAGAGGGGTTTTTATATGTAAACAAATTGCTTTTTTTCTGGAGCGAAGTACAAAATCGTTTTGTTTCCTTTCTTAGTCACCTTTTCACTTCCCCCTCCCCCCTTTTTTGGTAGGGAACTACAGAATAGGTGCAAGGATTATTTCATAACCATATTTGCTAGTACCTTGTTAGTAGTGCTTTCAGTCCTGTCCGATGTCAAATAACACCTAACGGGGAGGGATATCCTCAGACCATGGCTAAACTTTGGTTTCCTATCTGCAAAGCAGGGATAATGCTTCTCTGTAGCTAATCAGATTACGAACTATTTAGGATAAGACTGATGAAGGAAAAGACTCACGGCCTGATCAAGCATGTTGTGGCAGAGAAAGAGGCAAAGGGGGAAAACGGCGGTATCTGCTCAGGCAGGCTTTATGGAAGTAAACAGCTTGTCTTCAAAATTCCTTCTATAGTCAGCGGGAAGCCATGGAAGCCTCTAGAGCACAATTCCAGCCAGTCCTACCATCAACTGGAAAAGTAGCCAGAGAAGACAGGCCTGAGCAGGCAAGGATGCTGACCTCCGCAGGTGCCTCCTTCAGACTGCCAGGGAGCAGTTCATCTGCCTGCAGGCAACGTTCTCAGCCTCACAAAAGGCACGCTGGGCCAGAGATCCACCACGCGTTTCTGACCTTGACAGCATTTACCTATGTATAATTCAAGATGACCACGCTCATCCACTGTGGTAATTCTGTCCTTATTTGTCTATGTAGCTCTGTAAAATCTGATGGAAGCCTATCATAGGCCTCTTCAGCTTCTCCTTTTTGACTAGGTGTTTCCATTCCAGTTGTTTCACATATAGAAAAAGACTATAATACGCTACTAAAGTAATATCAGACGTATAGCTGGTTCCCCTCATTATGACTCCTAAGCTCTCTTAGCTAAAGAAACTTACTATGAAATTACTGAACCTGGGAAGAAGTCACCCACCTTCCTTATCATTAAGGAAATTTGCAGCAGAAAGATGAACTCCACAACAGACTTCAGCAGGCAGCACGATCTAGGTGGTACAACAGAACTCAAGAGACCGCATTTCAGACTAACTGCCCGAGGAACGCCTTAAACTACCTCACCGACAACAGAACGAGAAGCATTCCCACCTCCTGATGAAGCCTGTAGAGAAGCTTCAACCAAAAAACCCAAGGATCAGATTCAGGCAAGTGCTGTAGAAGTGAGGCCTGAGGATGTTCTGAAATGAAACTCCCTCTTGTGGAAGCTATTCTGCTCACGTGAATCACCCAAGATGGAAAGAAAAAGCAGGTGGGCAACAACTCACCCCACACACTGCCCGGCACCCCACCTCTGCCTCAGCTAATGCCTGCTGTAGCGAGAGACAAGACAGAACCCAAGTCCCCCTGAAACGAAGATGCTGAGAAATGAATCCAGGCCCCCTGTACACTGGTGATCTCCTCCCACTACATAATGCCCCAGCATCCAAGGCAGGCTCAGATTTACCATCTAAGTTTTCCAACGGCAACTTCCAAGTCCCGCTGGTTGGGCTTTTGGCCCATCTCACCCAACTGCAAGGCTGAGACACGGTCACTTCTTTGAGCTTGAACAGAACAGCTTTGTAGCAGAGCTGGGCGTCAATGCTAATAGACCGCTGCTTCAGGGTGTGTCACACAGCACCTCAACTGCAGGATTACCTTCCAGGTTCTACAAGGACCTGGCAAAAACTCATCTCTATCTTTTTAGGAAGAAAATTCATTGGCACAACAGCATTGTGGTATACCATAAAGGTAACAGTCTTTGCAAACTTGAAGCCAAGCCACACAAACGCTCTGTAAAAGCCCTGAAACAGAGCAGGATAGCACATTCCCATGCGGCCTTATGTTTATCTTTTGAGTTACGACTCAAATAAAGAGCTGCAGGCACTCGCTCTGCTTCTGCGGAGAGCTATCATCACCTATGGGCACATAGAGAGAACATAACAAAGGAGACACGTTTTCAGATTTGCATCCCCTGTCCTCCCACTCACACACATGCTAAGGTAGGCAGAATAAGGAGGGCATTTTACTTGGAAACATCTGGACAACAGCTCAAAAGAACACAGAGTTGAAAGTTGTATTTGGAGTGGTTTTTAAACTCCAGTGAAACCTTGAGTTAGTGCTTAATGTCACTTGAAATCTGGAGAGGCACAAGAATCCGCAGATCCATGCCTAAGAAAAGGTATCTGCCATAAACTGTTTGAAGAGCCCTTACTGAATCAAGACACTTAAAGAGAACATCTCTGAAGACAAGATTCACAGTAAGAGTGCCCATGTAGCACGTGTGTGGGGGGGGAGAATATCAAGCAAGTGATCAGGACATCTTTATCGTCATAATAATATGCAATATTTTTGAAACAGATGAATTTTCTGAAGAAAAAACCTGTAATAAAAAACAGCCTCAAGACACTAGCGTTTTCACTTTGTGGAGCAGAATACTATTACTCAGCATATGCTTATTTTGAATAAAAAAGTCTATCTTAACATCTACATCCAAGTACTCTTAAGATCATCATGGAGGATCTCTTCTGCAGAGACATCTGTATTTGATTAGAGCACCTCTCAAAACTGAGAATTAGGACACTTCAGTGGGTTTTAGATCCAGACATAAGGTTATGACGAACGGAACAGAAGCACAGGACTAAGCCACAACCCCCAGAACTCTCCCAGGTCTCACGGTACAGCACGTGAGATACTTCAGACACAAGTACCAAAAGGGAACAACGTGGAACCAAACAGGAACTGCATCGATAGCTACCAGCACGAAAACGAGGGATGTGACAGACACCCTCAAAGTGTTTGCTGAGGCTGGTTATCTCCTGTTCCCTGCCAGGCTGGCCACCTCCGCTGTAGCCTCAGCACAGACCACAAGTTCTCCTCTGTCACGATGATCGAGGTCTCGTAGGGCAGCTGAAGCCACGGCCCTTTCCTTTCGCTTGTGTCTACGTTAGTGTCCCGTAAGGGGGTGGAAGGAAGTTAGCCGCAGGCAGCAATGGTTTCACATCCCAGTAAGATCTGCCAGACCCCAATAACTGTTAAAGAACCTTAAAGAAAAAGTAGGACCTGGGTGCACTGAGAGCAAGCGTACTGTACCTGTTTGTTCAGGACCTCTGCCCTAGCACGACACACAGGTAATACAAGCACTACACCTAAAAATACCAAAATGCAAGTCAAATCAATTTATTTCTGTAAGAGCAGTCATACCTGATCAGTCCAAACAGCCCTGGTAAAGATATCAAGACAGATCTGAGAAATATAGATTATCAAGACCAAGGAAATCTCAGTAACAAAGCAGCACAATGAACAAAGCATTCAGGGCAGTGATCCAATGTTTCAAGATGACACCGAGGCAGCCAGGTATAGCCAGTCTGATCAATACTTATTGATCAAACGAAATAAAGTAGCAATCGAGACAGCACACCAAGAGCTAGCTTACAGCAGAAAGCGAACAGCAGATAATTTTGACGTTATGTCACTGTATAAGTCGATGAATTCTTCTTTTCAACCAGCCAACAGAATTATTAAATGTTTGGTGAATCACTTTTTAAAGTCAAACAAGTTCAGCCTGTTTTCCAAAAGACACACGTTTGTTGGTTTTTGAGAAATCAGGAAACCTAGCTGGACACGGCTTTTGCTTCTGAAGAGTGATTTTGCTCAATAGTCAAGAACTAGATCATGAGAGGAAGATGCAGGCAAAGGTGCTAGGAGTGCGGCATGGCATTATTTGAAATAGAAGCGGCAAGGTTGTGCTCTGTCCAGGAGGAACCACGGTAAGGAGCCATGGCTTAGTATGGGTGACAGGAGGGTTCATTCATAACACGCTCTTCATTAGCATGTAAGCTGGCCAGTAAAATAACACGATAATGCTTAAAACAGGGATTTGAATTTGCTGTAAAGTGTATTAATGCTTAATACCAGAATCTAAATAAAGCAGCTCACGCCGTGAAAATCCTCAGGCCTAAGGCACCCCCGCCCCCCCGGGGCACAGGACCCTGCACGGTGTGGAGGGAAGAAAAGCGCTCCAGTACGGGGTGCCTCAGGCCGAGACCGCAGGACGGCCGCGGGCAGGGCAGGGCACGGCAGGGCAGGGCAGGGCAGGGCACGGCAGGGCAGGGCAAGGCAGGCCCCCCGGACGAACCCGCGGCGCTGGGCG